AATATCTGACGACTAACAACAAATATCTGACGGCTAACAACAAATATCTGACGGCTAACAACAAATATCTGACGGCTAACAACTGATATCTGACGGCTAACAACAGATATCTGACGGCTAACAACAAACATCTGACGGCTAACAACAAACATCTGACGACTAACAACAAATATCTGACGACTAACAACAAATATCTGACGGCTATCAACAAATATCTGACGGCTAACAACTGATATCTGACGGCTAACAACAAATATCTGACGGCTAACAAAAAATATCTGACGGCTAACAACAAATATCTGACGGCTAACAACAAATATCTGACGGCTAACAACAAATATCTGACGGCTAACAACTGATATCTGACGGCTAACAACTGATATCTGACGGCTAACAACAAATATCTGACGGCTAACAACTGATATCTGACGGCTAACAACTGATATCTGACGGCTAACAACAAATATCTGACGGCAAATATCTGAAGGCTAACAACTGATATCTGACGGCTAACAACAAATATCTGACGGCTAACAACTGATATCTGACGGCTAACAAAAAATATCTGACGGCTAACAACTGATATCTGACGGCTAACAACTGATATCTGACGGCTAACAACAAATATCTGACGGCTAACAACTGATATCTGACGGCTAACAACTGATATCTGACGGCTAACAACAAATATCTGACGGCTAACAACTGATATCTGACGGCTAACAACAAATATCTGACGGCTAACAAATATCTGACGGCTAACAACAGATATCTGACGGCTAACAACAAATATCTGACGGCTAACAACAAATATCTGACGGCTAACAACAGCAAATATCTGACGGCTAACAACAAATATCTGACGGCTATCAACTGATATCTGACGGCTAACAAAAAATATCTGACGGCTAACAACTGATATCTGACGGCTAACAACAAATATCTGACGGCTAACAACAAATATCTGACGGCTAACAACAAATATCTGACGGCTAACAACAGATATCTGACGGCTAACAACAAATATCTGACGGCTAACAACAGATATCTGACGGCTAACAACAAATATCTGACGGCTAACAACAAATATCTGACGGCTAACAACAAATATCTGACGGCTAACAACAGATATCTGACGGCTAACAACAAATATCTGACGGCTAACAACAGATATCTGACGGCTAACAACAAATATCTGACGGCTAACAACTGATATCTGACGGCCAACAACAAATATCTGACGGCCAACAACTGATATCTGACGGCAAATGTCTGACGGCTAACAACTGATATCTGACGGCTAACAACAAATATCTGACGGCAAATATCTGACGGCTAACAACAAATATCTGACGGCTATCAACTGATATCTGACGGCTAACAAAAAATATCTGACGGCTAACAACTGATATCTGACGGCTAACAACTGATATCTGACGGCTAACAACAAATATCTGACGGCTAACAACAAATATCTGACGGCTAACAACTGATATCTGACGGCTAACAACAGATATCTGACGGCTAACAACAAACATCTGACGGCTAACAACTGATATCTGACGGCTAACAACAAATATCTGACGGCTAACAACTGATATCTGACGGCTAACAACTGATATCTGACGGCTAACAACAAATATCTGACGGCTAACAACTGATATCTGACGGCTAACAACAAATATCTGACGGCTAACAACAAATATCTGACGGCTAACAACAGATATCTGACGGCTAACAACTGATATCTGACGGCTAACAACAGATGTCTGACGGCTAACAACAGATGTCTGACGGCTAACAACAAATATCTGACGGCTAACAACTGATATTTGCCTGCTTTGGTCGGTTATTATTGGGTTCTTAAAATGTCACGATCGTGACTCGTGAGCAAAGTTAAACAAGTGGCTATCCTTGAGTATAAGCGTCCATTTTGATTGAAAAAACCCTCCACTGACCTGGTTGCCTTGCCCTGACATATTGTAACCATCATCTTTTCTTATAATGTTACTTTCTTTGAAGACAAACTTTTGTGAAGTCTAATTCAGACAAGCTTTACCACAGCCGCCGTTGTGAAATAGAAATTCGGTCTTAAAAAACTCTTAATGATTAAGTGATGCAGAACAAAGATGGTTACACTCAAACTATTGGGACACAGCAAGGAAAGTAATGACATTTGATTATTTCTTTTATAGATATGATGAATGTTACCTGGTTAATGACAGATTGACACATACCAGCAGATACTCGTGTATCGTGGCTTTTGTCCTCAAACCATGAAAACCACACATCTTAACTGTCAAAATGAAAGATGACACAAACAAACCATTACTTGTTTGATGATATCGGAAGGGAGACAACTCACTAATACATATCCATCGTTCAATTTTATGTTTATATTTGTATTAGTGAATTAAAAGTAAATCTGGTAGATATGACAGACGGTGTAGGTCTGTTGTGTGGGGTATAACTCAAGTGGTATACTGGTTATCAAACGTTTGTCATATCGGGCATGCTCGCTGCTGAATACGGAGACAAGAGTTATCTTTCTTGCTATGCTTTGTTTATCGTTATTGCCATAGCAACACCACGGATTTTACTTTGTTGGTCCGTCGGATATCTCTCGATCAATATAATCGGATACATTATTTACATTGACCAAAATGTTTTTAATGTAAATACACTGCTGTATATATAGTGAGATACCTTATTACATGTATTGGTGATCTGTAGCAAATCTTCCATGAAACCCTAGAAGATTCCTTGTACTGGGCTTATTCGATAAATACGGTTCTATTCTAGAACTCATGATAAAGCATTACATAGTCGATTTTAAATGAGTTTCCATTTCATACACGATCTTACGAAACGAGTCATAGAAGTTACGAGCCTTTACGAGCCCTGGCGAGCAAAACTTGCAATTGATATTTAGCCTAAATCTCTTACGAAATGAAAAGTAGTTTAAGGAAATCTTTGTCATATAACTCAGAAAACCATTTTGATAAGTTACTAAGTGAAAGCAAAAAAATCAGTTCATTTTTTAAAATCAATTTTGGTACAAAAATAAATAAGACAATACGAACAAACTTCCTTTCACACACATGCCTACTTGTATCATCATCATCATCATCATCATCATCATCATCACAAATTTTCAGGTCATGAGCGAATTCAACTCAGCCACTTGTTCTGATTTTCAAATGGTTCATGATCTCCGCTTCTCACTATGAACGTCGTTTGCGCATGGTTCAAAGAAACTTAGACAAAAATTCTCATTTATTTATTGAGATTCAGAGACAATATCTTGTAGATGGTTGCTACGTAATGTGTGAGTCAACCTGCCACCATTATGACCGCACGCACGACCACACGCACGTGTCAAATGGGCAGGAGTAATGACGATCAAAGTTTTCGGTAGTTCAATTCGATTAATTCGAAATAAATGTGAAGGGACCCTCCCCTGTGGAATGTTAGGAGACAAAATGCACATTTTTTCTTGATTAATATGTGGATATAATCGCGTGAGGGCGGTACGTGACTTAAGACATTGGTTACTATGGTGAGGTAAGTCAAACATATATTACCTGAGATCATGGCCATTAAGGATTATTGTTATACTGATATTTGTCATTTGTTTCATCCCTAATAACATTCCAGTAAAACGACACCAAAGCGGTTACAACAAACGTCATATCCTAATTATATTGACGAAAACACCATTAAACACGGCAGAAATGTGTTGTCATATGTAATGAAACAGCCGGATAACATGAGAAATTTCATCATACACCCCGAAACACCTTTGATACATGTATCAGACAAATGTCCCATGCCTAAATTTCTCCAGTGCATGCTTACGTAATGCATATACTGCCCTTAGTAAGAGGAGTGTTTGTCTCCAGACAACTTCTGATAACATAAGTACGTGCCCCGTGTTGATTTTATCGGAGGACAATAAAATTCGAAATTTTCTGAAATAAATTACGTAATGTGGATTTCCATTGGTCGATCATTATCTAAATGTAAATAAGTGCAAAAACAAAATCCCCCTCGGATTGTACATATATTTAAAACCGATCCCGATATAGTTGTTTTGTTCGTTTCTGTAGTAAATGCATTAAAACTATGAAATAATTCTCAAAAACTTCTGATTTCAGATAACTGCTTGATCTATCATTATTAAATGACAAATGTTTACGAAAAGTTATACATCGAGACGTTTAAAATGATTTTCTGATATTAAATAAAACAAAAATGACTGTGTTTAACTCCCCCCCCCCTCTCTCTCTCTCTCTCTCTTTACCCCTTTTTAGTCATTCACTCCACGCCCACGTAGAAAAAAATGAATAAAGAAAATATGTTTAAATCAGCAATATTGCATGTACATGTAAAGGATATGTTTTTTCTGCCATATCACGTGCAGTCGATTAGAACGTCCCTAATGACATCCATCTCACAATCATAAAGCGATTGAAATTATAATAATTCATTAAGGTTTCCAGTGTGTTTCAACGTGACCTTACAGAGGGGCGTGTCGTGAAGTACATCGTCTAGATTGTCTGTATAGTAGATACACACATCACTCAGGTGTAATAAACACTGTCTACCACCAATAATTAAAGAATGTGCCTTCAGGTAATATACAAGTGTCAGGGCATGCGCCAAATTCCACTTCCGGTACTTGACTTATGATTGATGCCATGGGGTAGATGTATATAATGATAAAAATCAAACGAAACGCACACCCGTCGGCACACATATATATATAGAGAGAGAGAGGTTTAGACAACGTGTTCTGGTATATTGTCTTATGTGTGCTAACTACACATTCACCTGTCAACAGTAACTATCTGTGCTTCGCTTCATTAAATATTTATATCTTTCTGTAAAACAGACAGGTATATGTTTATATACCTTTTCAGACTGTATGCTCCACAAAGTTTATCATAAATGATAAACTTTGTCCGAAGAAGTCGAATTTTCTTCACATACAATTGACAATGTATTTCCTCTTTACATATTTTTGGATATTAATGTCAGTTCGGTTTGGGATTTTTCTTATACTCGTACAATCATCAGAGGAGTTCCCACTACACGACGCTCGGCACAACCTGACGGGAGAGGAGTATGACCCGGAGGATGCTAAATACGTAAGTGTTACATAATAATCACTCTCACGTGCCATCACGTGATACTGTGCGCACGTGGCCTCAGTTTTATACATAAATGTAAGTTATTATGAAGTACAATGTTCACGTGCTCAAATGACGTAAAACAGGTATACATTTATGTACTATAGCATACGCACGTGGTCACTTATGATACAAAAGATGTGTGTTTCTGGAATTACATGTATCACGCGCAAGTGTCCTTAAATGTACCGAAAGTGCCATCACGTGCAAAAGTATATACAATGAATGTTAATTATTGTAAAACGGTAACGTTCATTTCAAATGGCACGCGCACATGCTTTTGTAACTACTTTACTTTGCGCACACTTAAAGTTTACTGTAAATTGTAACTGTAAAGTCATACAGGTGAAGAGCTGCGATGTTTACTTTCTTCGTACTGTTGTCATAGTCTCATGTTGTTGATCTTAAGAATAACAAATAAATAGACTTAGTTGTTTTGTGACATTTGAACGTTTTGAAAGGTTTGGGTTCATCAGCGTGCATAGGAGATACATTACAGGGTATTCAATATATATATATATAAAGAGCCGGAAATTCACAGTTCATGATGTAGATGTCATTTCCATAAAATCATATTAATTGTGTACAAAGCTTAAATCATATCCCAAATGTAACGTTGTTATAATTTATGAGTAATATTTTAACAAAATATTAAATGAGATATCAAGCTAAGCGCTTGACCGCGCGTGAGAATATGCACACACCACACGCGTGTCATGAAGAACATCAGGGGTTGTTACACTATGTAAGCGAGGAGACCTGATGTCGGATATGTAATGTCAACATGTCATCAGGTATACGATGTATATGTGTGGATTATATAGTCTGAATCACATTTGAATAACTAACAACCTTTCTTATAAATCCTATATAAACCCTGATCACTATGACCCACAGTGATACAACCACAGTTGCCGTATCTTCTGATCAAAGGTTTACTTTGTGAGTGATGATTGAAGCAAAACTGCGGGATTACAAAGGGACTATTAATTTCACTTATGACACAGACTCGCATGTGTAAAACAGAAAGATGAAGAACAATGATCAAACATTAACACTCGGTAAATCCGCAACAATGTTTGAATATCCTTCGATGTTTTTTTTGCGTCTATTTATTGGCTCAGTGCTTTAACCTGTGGTATATCTTATTAGAAACTGGAACAACGGAACAGACGTGTCTGGTATTGAGTAGATAAATTCTTGTCGTCTGTCCTCATTCACAAGCTTCTTGAACAAGTACAATTCTTCTGGTCTGTTCTGCTGCAAATTGAACATTTCTAATCCTAATTCCTAATGAGTTTATCTAATAAATATGTCAAACTATTTTGGGGACATCCATGAAATAAAAAACACATTATTTGGTTTTGGTAATTATTTATATTTTTTATTCCCATTTAGTTTGACATGCCAAAGTAGAAACCTAAGATTGTTAAAACGTTAGGAATAAAAGTATAGACCACATCACTTATCATTTTTCCAACATAGGGGTTTTCTATAACAAGAGCCCGGTGTCACTGTTTACTTCGTGTTTTCGCGACACATACGTATGACATAAGATCACATGTGATGTCCATTTTACAACGATATTTGCATACATAATGACAGAAATGCTAATACTTCTAAATGTATACATATGTATCTGATATAGAGTTAAAGCAGATACACATGGCTAGGCCCAGTATGACAGTCAGGCTTCCTACAGACATCAACACGGGAATTGTCTGTTTCTAAGATTTCATCCAATATCGTGTCGAAATAACATTTATCTAAATCGTAATTTTATATATCTCATACTGTTTTGCTCGTGGATACAAAACGTTTTGCTTAATACTGTTGAACACTATGGTTTGTGTACTAGTAGTTAAGGCTGTATGCTACCTTTTTGTGACCGACAGAGATGTTTGCTTTCTTTCTCCAGATGAATGCTACAGTGATATAATATGACGAATTAAGATTGTAAACGTAAACATGTATGCTATCTTTTTACGACATGGCAATTTAAGAATGTACAGTGTGTATGCTAGCTATTAGAGACATGACAATTTATAAGTGTACAGTGTATATGCTAGCTTTTAGAGACATGACAATTTATAAGTGTACAGTGTGTATGCTAGCTTTTAGAGATATGACAATTTATAAGTGTACAGTGTATATGCTAACTTTTAGAAACATGACAATTTATAAGTGCACAGTGTGTATGCTAGCTTTTAGAGACATGACAATTTATAAGTGTACAGTGTGTATGCTAGCTTTCAAATCATCCATTATGAATTCTGATCCAGCACCTAAAACACATAACAAGCACGCGTTTTTTTTTATTGAGAATCAGATGGATCTTTCCGGCTATCTATTGATCCATCCCATTCATCCCAATTTTAATTCCAATCCCATCTCATCCCTATCCAAATCCCATCCCATCCCAATCCTATCCCATCCAAATCCCATACGCTCCCATCCCATCCATCCCAATCATATCCCATCCCATCCCAATCCCATCCGGTCCAATCCCATACGCTCCCATCCCATCCATCCCAATCATATCCCATCCCAATCCCATCCGGTCCAATCCCATCCGTCCCAATCCTGTCCCAATCCCATCACGTCCCAATCCCAATTTCATCCCATCCCATCCGTCCCAATTCTGTCACATCCCAATCCCAATCCCATCCTAATCGTTATCCCATCCGGGTCCCATCTCATCCCGTCCAATCCGATCCCATCCCGTCCCAACCCAATCCCATCACATCCTGTCCCTTCCCGTCCCATCCTGTCCCATCCGTCCTAATCCCGTCCCATCCCGTCCCACCCGTCACAATCCCAATCCCATCCGGTCCCATCCTTTCCGTGTACCTACCAGCGTACTGTTCTGTGTTGTATAAACCCAACTAAAGGTTTTTATTAAGTCATTTATATGAACTGTAACTACCATTGGTTGACAATGGTAAGAAGTTCGTAATCTGCTGAGGTGTTTGGTGACTTGTAGTTTGTGTTGGTATTCATTTAGAAACAAACGTTCGTTATGTTTTGTTGGTGTACATTTTTGAAGCTGAATCTAACGAGCCTATCGTCCATTTCTACTTTATACAAGACGTTTTTATCAGTTTCTTAACAATGTTTTTTGTCTGTTTGTTTTATTTTGGGTTTTTTTGACACAATTTCTGATCATCTTTTTGTCATTTTTTTATCATAGATGGCCAAATCTTTGATTTTCGGCTATAAAATACTAGTATCATATTTACAAAGATAAAATAACTTGAAAAGCAGAAAACAAGTTTGCTGGTGATGTGTACAATTTTATTAAGCATTCTCACAGACTATGTTTGCTATTACCGTTAGCAGAACATCTACAAAAAAACCTAAGATATCAAGAACTTTAAGTCAATTTACTACCTGATACAGACCGAGAAAGGTATATTCTCTGGGACTCGTGGAACGTAACATGATCACCCCTTATTATACACACAGGTACAAACCACATGTCATTTGTATCAGAAAAAAAGTTTTATTTACTCATAATTATCATATATTGTTCTGTAACTAGAAATACATGTTAAACACTGATGTGTTAACTAACAGTCACCACGCTCAAAATGGTACGTGTTTCAGGAATTCGTGGGGAGGACAGGTACTTCTAGACATTTGTCATGGTCTGACTGGACAGTTTGATCAGATATAGTGAGATAACTACTGTTGTTACAGGGAAATCCAGAGTGTAGGGCGAGACCTAATTGTGGTAGGTACCAACCCTGATGTCTAGGAATCATGTACGTCTTCCATTGAAGACTGACACAATATCTGGTAACACCTATCATAAATTCAACATGTTATGTAAATTATAAAAAAAAGTTATTAATACATGAATGTTTGGGAGTCCGCCCTAGCTGTTTAAGTGAAAAGGTCAACTTATGTTTTTGATGTTGGATATCTATAAAGATTTTTAATCCAGGATTCTTATGATGACCTCAGAATTAAAAGATGTGACTTCTGTAAATCAACCGTGTTACATGAAATACGTGTAAGACTGAACTGCACCCGGGGATGGTTTCACGCTCCCGACTTTGTGACGTCATCAGGAAACTGAGAAACGGACCGATATGTGTTGCCATGTCATTATTTTAGCAATCCACTTTACTCAAATTGCTATGGATGGTTTGCGACGAACCTCTCGTATGTTGTTCACTGAGAAAGCCACCAATGTTAAAATAATATAATAATCCTAATTGTTGATAGGGAAATACACCCAAAAACAAACAGACACACAATGATACACTGTTTCCTTATCAACAGTTCAGTTGACACATTTGTAATTGCCCATTCTACTTACACAGGGGTATCATCCCAATGCTATTATCCAAACCACTTCATACACATACCAAAGATGTTATATTTTCTGAATAATAATCATGATGAGAACATTTTTACGAGATTCACGTTTTCAGAAAATCGCGTAGTATGGCGGTCACGTGATTTAACAAGAACCTCCATTGTCTGGATGAATATTGGTAATTTAGAAAGGACATGTGTAATATTTCACCTTTCTAAAACGTATTTCGCTTTATTGCTCTAAAATGTCCGATTTTCGATATCATCAGAAATACACGTCACCTCTCACGAGACAAGTGATGATGTTACGGACGTCGCGACTCTCAAAATGGACCATAGACAATTTCTGTGTGGAAGTTACCAGAGATGTACCATTAAGATAAAGAGGTTACACACATATACTGTAATACCAGCTTCGTCTATGTAGTTATCACACCATTAGTCATTGGTAGATCATACTTTAAAATCAGAAATATCATACGTACTGGACAGATTGCAAAGAATCTGTTGCATGCTTAAATGTCAGCCATACTACTTCCGGCTAAAAGGAATCTGACACGCTCGATAATTCTCACCTAGGTAAAATCTGTTACCTGCAATGATACAGATGGCCAGTATCAATTGGAACTCACCAAATTCTATATATACGTATACAGAACTTAAGACAAAGGTACAGTAGCAATATCAGGTAAAATCAACTTCACCACCACACCAGTCAAAGTCACCACCACACCAGTCAAAGTCACCACCACACCAGTCAAAGTCACCACCACACCAGTCAAAGTCACCACCACACCAGACAAAGTCACCACCACACCAGTCAAAGTCACCATCACCACCACACCCGTCAGTCACCACTACACCAGTCAAAGTCACCACCATACCAGTCAGTCACCACCACCACACCAGTCAAAGTCACCACCACACCCGTCAGTCATCACCACACCAGTCAAAGTCACCACCACACCAGTCAAAGTCACCACCACACCAGTCAAAGTCACCATCACCACCACACCCGTCAGTCACCACTACACCAGTCAAAATCACCACCACACCAGTCAAAGTCACCACCACACCAGTCAAAGTCACCACCACACCAGTCAGTCACCACCACACCAGTCAGTCACCACCACACCAGTCACAGTCATCACCACACCAGTCAAAATTATCACCACACCAGTCAAAGTCACCACCACACCAGTCAAAGTCACCACCACACCAGTCAAAGTCACCACCACACCACTCACCATCACACCAGTCAAAGTCACCACCACACCAGTCAAAGTCACCACCACACCAGTCAAAGTCACCACCACACCAGTCAAAGTCACCATTACCACACCAGTCAAAGTCACCACCACACCAGTCAAAGTCACCACCACACCAGTCAAAGTCACCACCACACCAGTCAAAGTCACCACCACACCAGTCAAAGTCACCACCACACCAGTCAAAGTCACCACCACACCACTCACCATCACACCAGTCAAAGTCACCACCACACCAGTCAAAGATACCACCACACCAGTCAAAGTCACCATTACCACACCAGACCAATCACTACATCTTAGAATCCCTGATTAACTGATATACACTTCTTCCCATAAGAAATATCGACTACTGAGACAGTAGAAAATATTTTGAACATGAACCGATTTTTATATACAATGCCTCCAATGCTATTTTCAGTACATGATACCACAGAGTTTGCCCCAAGAGTGTGAATGTTTTCCATGACTGGCAAAGCATACTAATGATTATACAGTATGTAAACCTGTTAACTAAGTTTTCAACACAGCCACTGAAGTGCACTCTATATCAGAACACCCTTAAGCAGTAGTTATTTTTAGATCAAGAATTATAAAAAAAGCTGGTTTCCAGCTGTATAAGTCGAAAGTTTACATAAAAAGGCATATATTAGTTTATTTTTAAAACTGAGTTTGGCCGGAAGACAACAAAATTCACACTGTCACTTAAGATAAAACAACTTTAAGAAAACCTTTTCTCGACTATAGGTTTTTTTATGACAGAAGAGGTAATAATGTCGATTGGTTACTTTGGGAACATTGATTTTTATTGACGTTTTATGTTTGAATTCTTTTGCTAGAACGGCTGTACATGGCCTTGACTAGATCTAATGACCATTCTAAACGTTTCTATAATTTCATATGATTATACCGCTGGATTGGTTCATTTGCATTGTTCAATATGGAGCTGTGGTTAGATTTGTTTTTTCAATCATGAATTTGGCTGGATGCAAAGTTCATATTACTGTGCAAAGCCACAAAAGTAAAGAACACCTTTTAATACAAATGTAGAGTTAGATTTATTGGTTCGGTAATTCCAAAGTAACTGTTTAAGGTCAGATGTTTGGCAAATAAAGTTTAGAGAAGAAAGATGAACATATTCTTTTGAAGATGAAGATTTACAAAGTAAAACACAAAGTGTTTAGCAACATATGATGAACTGTCAAAAAACATCACGAAAATACCAACATGGCAACATAATCATAATTCATTTCAAATTCCATGAAACTAGAGCAAAATATGAACAGAAGAAAGATTTACACAGAGACGCCTGAACAAGTACAAGGACAATAAGACCAGGTGTTCCGGTAGAGTAAGCGTCTTCGGCTTTATCGACGACACCCGTCATGCAAACTTTGATCAATTCAAGTAAGCAATGTCACGTTCTCAAATAAGAGCAAATTTTAAAACAACGAAATTAACAGGCAAACTAACGAGCATCAAAGTTAAGATATATACGTTATTTTATAAATTTGGAATTCTCTACTAGTGCTCCTCTACTTACCGTGATAAATACTCGATTTTGTGATACGTCAGTTTATCTAGTGACATTGTTGACCATAAGTAAACATAACACACATAGCTGACAGACAATACTGACATCACCTCGTTACCGTCAAAGACAAATTAATGTTACAGAGTCTGTATTCAATGGTTAATTTCAAAGGATATATATAACAAAAATAAACGTTGAATAATAATTAAAGCTCTATATTGTCACAAAGACGCTCAACCTTTGGGAACACCTTTTCCTATTCTCTTTGTACTGTTTCACGAGTATCTGTGCAAATCTTTTGTTGGTGTTTTCCCTAGTTTTATCGGCTTTCAGCTTGGATTATGATTATGTTAACATGACAGTATTTGCTTTGAGTACTTGATTGTCGTACACACTGTGGCTCTGAGTCATTGTGACTCTTGGTAAAAAATAACATTTTCGTACCCATGCATAACAATTGATATTTGTATTATCTTAATATCACATACTTGCAATGGAACTTGTTACACCTCTATAATGCACCAAGAAATTTCTATGAAATAAGTTAATCAAAAGGTTTACTGTTTTCGCCGACATAACCAGCCTGACTTACAAATGTCGCAAGACATCAACACTGTAATATATATCCGTGATATTTTCATAGCTAGCTTATGCAACAACACTGCGAGTTTTATTGATAAACATTGGAAAATGAAAATGTACTGACTAACAAATAATAGTACTATGATGGATACAACTTTAAGAATGGCCATTATTGAAAGTTTAATCACTATATGTATCATAATGTCATAAGTCAAGGTCAAGGTCACCAAAAATGTATTTGTGATGTCCTTGATATAATTGAAGGTCAAGAATGGTGATGTCCGATCAAGGTTGTGGTCAAGTGTAGAAAATGGAGGCTTTGAGGTAAGCATGCTTATATATAGTGATATAATGTATCAATGAAATATCTTTTTTATATTAAAAAGTTGACCATATTTGGAAATAAAGAATTGCCTAGTTTCTGCTATGCTCTTTGCCAGTGCAGATCTCATGAATTGACAGCGCTCTGGATTTTTCTCGGCAATGCTAAATGTTTTCTTACCTGTATTTACCATAACAATAGGTTAATCAAGGTGTTTTGTTTTATTTATGTCATTAGCAGGTGATCTCAATCATTACATTTGCATTATATTTACACACAAATTCTAACAATTCGAGAGGAACCCTTGCTGATGTAAAACTCTTGCGTATGAATGAAAACATCTTGTAATGTACAATAGAGTTATTTACTGAGATATAAAATGCATTGGTACCAAAGAAGCTATATATTTTATGAGAAAGCTTTGATTGCGACCTGTGACAATCAATCGATTATCTATGAATTGATACCATATTCGGGAAAGCAGAGGTAATGTTTAGCGGTGAGTTAAAATCGTGAAAACCTGCTGATGTAGGACATTCTTCAGTTTCAACTATTTTAAGTTCATTCTTTATGTACCCTCGATGTGGTCGATGATTCATTCGATAATGATTGATATGAAAATTAGTGACTATATAATATACTGTAAGACATCAATTATCGTGGTGGATTGGTTTTCGCTAAATTTGAAAGTACTTTAAAGCCATCAATTTATATGTCTACGAGATGATGAACGGATAAAAATTGACATGGATTAAAGTACGAGTTACTGATGAAGATTTATCTACAAAATGAAGTATCAAGGAACCGGTGAGAAACAGATCCCCACGACAATATGTAATGCTATTTATGTGATTAGCTTATTCGTCTGGATGTGAGTGACTTGATAAGACAGTCGACAGTTTCGTGATAAACTGTTCTTTAAATGCAGAAGTACCTAGAAACCTGGCTAAATCGGGACACGGTTTGTTTCAGTGGATATGCTGGAGTCATGTTAATAGAACATTTCCCCCATTAGTATAACTAAGGACAGTTTGACACAATGATGTCATGACATACACTGAAAATCTAATCTTGATAATCTTCATTGGTGAAAGAGGCGGTGATAACTCAGACGGTTAAAGTGATGAATAACGTCACCTCGGTAACCCCTACCAGATGCGATTTGTATTTCTTATGAAACTGAAAGATTGAGCAATCTGTGTTGTTACGGTTATGTTAGAAAATATTGCACTTTGTACTTGGATATCTATGGAAATGTACCCGGTGTTCAATAGGGTGTATGGCGGTTCTTTATAAAAGATAAATTGCCTCAATTAACTTGTATAACATATGATTAGCCTTCCGTATTATGTTCAATGAAAGAGCCACCGGCTACTTCAAGTGAACCCCATCTTAATTGACCCAGGATGTTGATTGGGCTATAAACTCAACAATCAAAGAAAGCTTTTATGATCAAAAATATAATACTTCCCCGCTTACGTTTGTATGTAAACATACAGGGTGTATGATGTATTAAGTCGTACCTTTGGGATTAGGGTTATCTTTCGTTGTGTCAATAAAATGTCATATTTATGCGTTCAACCCAAAAAGGAACTTGTTCGAAATAATGTAAAGTACAATTTGTCATGTATATTTGAATATATCACCTTTATGATCAGGTGTTATGAATGATATATCAAACCAACTAATTTATTAGATTGACAACGTATGGGGGAGATGGTAATTCCCCAAATCTTGGGGAAGTTATCTTCCTTATTGAAACAGCCAATCGAATGCCTTTATTGTACACATACGAATTGCTGAAGTGTAACGATTTCCCTCTGGTTACGGTAGGTAAGTGGGATTATTAGAGGTATTTTGGGAGACTTTCAGAAGTGTTAAGTTATATATAGGTACATCTTATAATGAAAGTATACTCCAGCGATGTTACGTCGGTACAGAAATAGAGCGTCAACGCCAGTGAAAAGTCATATAGGTAGAGATAGGTATTTATAATGACCGGCTAGTATTTGTATGGGGTAACAAAAACAATGTTTACAAACACAAATATGTAGCATTTGGTAAGTCTTGTTTACAAACACAAATATGTAGCATTTGGTAAGTCTTGTTTACAAACACAAATATGTAACATTTGGTAAGTCTTGTAGATATAAAAAAAGGTCACCGATGAAGGATATGATGATTGATGACAGAAGTGTACTGAGGATAATGTGTAATATGTACAACCTTAGCGTTAGAAAACCTTGATACATTCGTACATGGTAGAGATGTCGAGAACTGTCTATATAGAGCGGACAAATAGAATTGGAGACCTTGGAGAATAAAACGCATACAGTTGTTCATGTATGAATTACTGATAAACTCAACGTGAAGGGGTTTAAGTTAACATAATTTACTTCATTTGAAACAAAATGTTCACTGTTGACTTTATCAGATATGACACTGTTCCACTGTTTAGACTATTGACTTCATGTAAAAACAAATAAAAAAACAACAACATGTTAACAGAATCCTAATTCAAACTCAAATTCTATAGATTGGCCAAATATGAACAAAAGAAAGATTTACAGTCTTAATAATTACAAGGAGAATAAGACAAGGTGTTCCGGAAGAGTAGGTGTCTTCTGTTTCATTAACGACACCAGCCATGTAAATCTCAGTAAATTTGCTGCTATTCCAACTAACGAAGTGTATCATCTTACTGACCGTGAACTATTAAGTTTTCTTCTTTATGAATGAAGCGTTATTTGCTCTTTAAACCCATCACAATTCAGACAGCTTGTTGGTAAGATAAAAGAAACTAGTCAACGTTGCATAATCTTTAATTACCTACATTACAGGTAAATCTCTTGATTGAATGCCTTCTATATCAGCAATGCAGCCGAGAAATTTAGTGATAATCTTGTAGGAAAATGAAATGGTTTAATTTGACCGATATGTAAAGCTAGTACATCTACAGCAGTAATAATTTAGAAAGTATAATTATAATGCTCACGTTGAATGACATAAATGGTATATTTATCTAGGCATATGTTTGATGAATTGTTCAACAATGAAAGATAGCTTGTGAGGGCGGTTTTTGATTTTCCTTGTCATTTGTCATTTAAGTAATTAAGCATATTAAGCACATTACGTGACAATTTTGACAGAAAAGATTGCTATACAAGGTAAAACACGACTAACTTCCTGTACCTAGGATAACGATTTTCGCTTGTTTTATGTAAAAATGCCTAATGACAGTCCGCAATTGTTCTAGTTCCAAATCTTAGAGAAAAATTACTATAGCATTTGTTTAAATATCTGAATGTTTCGCAATGGTATTCGATAGTGGATTATGGTAGTGTCTTTTTAATCGTAATAAAAACAAAAAGAAAATACCAACATGTCGGTATAATGATTATCCAAACTCTAATTCAATGAAACAAGCACAAAATGAACAAAAGAAATAATTATATGCAGATTCCTGAAAAAGCACAAGGAGTATAAGGCCAGGTGTTCTGGAAGTGTGAGCGTCTTCTGCTTCATTGATGACACTAGGAACGTAAATCTAGGTCAATCCATGTCAATGATATCATGTTCTCAAATGAGAACAAGGTAAACAACAGTGGAAACCAACTAACGAGCATCTAACACGTCCGTCTTCATATCGCACACAGAAATTTAATTGAATTTTCGATGAGTAAAAAACTTTGTATGGCGGTGTTTTTAATCACCTTCACACTGTGAAATACATATTTATTTATTGTTTGTTCTTTATGGTGAAATCCTAATTAAATTTTCGAAATGATCCTTGTTGACTTCATTCCACTGAAATGTGTCCTTTCAGTTATAAGATTTAGTGATACAAACATTAATGCACAGTGATGTTGCAATTATAAGATAGACGATGTTATTTAAGTGTAAGACTTCAATAAACTTTGTAAAACATGCAGGTTGATGAAGATTTTGTGGAAGTGTTATGGTCGTCACAATGATGAGATTGGGAAATATTTTATTTCTTAGTGGAATATAAAGCTGGTGCTTATTAGTTTGCCTGTTGATTCCATTGTTTTAAATCTTATTCTCATTTGAGAACGAAATATTACTTACTTGGATTGACGAAGGTTAACATGATGAAGCAGTAAACGCTCACTATTCAGGAACATGTGGTCCTATTCTTATACCTTTTCATGAGTCTCCGTGTAAATCTTCCTTTTGTTCAGATCTTGTCCTAGTTTCATGGAATTTGAGTTTGAATCATGTTTATGTTGACATGTTGATATCTTCTTATCTTTTTTGTACATTTATAAAGCACTTACCTGTTGAATATGTATAAGGGAGTATTTTATCAGATTTAATGAGTAATAGAAAATATCTATATTCTCTGCGAGTGCGAACGGATAAATCGGTCAATCTAAATGCAGTGATTAGAAAACACTTATCTGATTGGTCAAAACTACAATAGTTATATCACCATTGGAAAAAAGCACGTCATATTTACAGCATATCACTTTAAAAATAAATAAAGTTCCTATCACTGTTAGATGCACGTTGTTAATCTGTAATGGTGGACTTTAGGAACATTTACTGACTAATAACTATTCCAAGCCGACTTAACATATCAGGGTCTACGTTCTCAGCTCATTCTTATTCTACTCAATACGCGGACATTTGTACAGAGGTTGACAGGTTTTATAGACGACCTGCCGGAAGAGGATATAAACAGCCATCGCTCTATCTTACAATACAAGTCGACCTTTCTAAAAACTTCCATCAAATAATACATCAATTTTACCACCGTTACACCAATAAGCAGTAGTCCAATTAATTGTTAGAATCGTGTAAGAAGCTAGGATTGGTGTATACATAAGCGGAGAGGAGCCTTATAATAGCAGGGTTGCATTATTAGTGTAATCGTGGTGTAGATTCAGTTATATTTATCTCGTTGTGATTCTGATATCATATCAACGTTTACATAATTATTCATAGTGACGTCAAATTAAATTAACGTTAGTGTACTTGT